GCAGGCAGCTGTGCTGCCTGCTGCAGGACTTCAGGGAAGGGCAGGAGGTAGTTGAAGAGCAGGAGCCATTCGCCCTGTGAAAGAATTGTGTCAGAGAGGGCTGGATACTCGCAGCCAGCAGCATCACTAGAGCTGGTCTGCACATTCCCCTTCTCAGCACTCACCTCTTCCCGGAGGCAGGAGAAGTTCAGCTCAGAGGGTGGTGGCAGAGGTGGGTACGTGCCTGGAAAGAAGGCAGGGAGCTGCTGTTGTGCCTGGAGGAGCCACATGCCTCCAGGCGTGAAGAACAGCCCCGCAGTGGCTGTGAGGGCTGCAAGTGATGCTCACCCTGTTCCACAGCTCGCTGGAAGGTGTCGAAGAGCGTGGCCAGCCGGGCACAGTTGTACATCACAAAGGCACCGCTCTTGGTTCCCTTGGTGGAGATGCTGCTGTCCTGCAGGTCCAGCGTGATCTGAGGGCAGAGCCAAATCATAGTCCAAGCTGCACCACTGCTTTGTGCAAGTCATGGGTTGTCTCTACGCAAACCACTGTCCTACCTGACTGCGGTGAGCAGTGCTCAGCATCTCAAACCTGATGGCAGCCGCTGTGAGAGTATCGATCACCTCAGTCCAGGCCTCATCTATGGAGAACACAGATGGCATCAGTACAGCTCACTCCATTCCCTTCTACCATCACACCTAGCACCTAGGCAGGACTCCCTCACCCAGGGCTAGGAAGCACCAGGGGAATCTGGGTACCACAATACCAGCCCTGGCCCCCATCTGCAGGTGCTGCTCTGTGCTGTGGCAGGTTACAAACCTTCCCCCAGGCACCATCAGCACTGGGTCCATCACGGAGGGGAGAGGGAGCACTCACAGGAGCAGTAGAGACAGGAATGGAGCAGTACCTGTGTGTAGAGCTGCAGTGCTCACCTTGTGCAAGCTCCCCGTACTTCATCACAGAGGCTTTGTACATCTGGCGCTTTCGGAGCCTGGGAGGAACGGACACACAGCTCACTCCAGGGTGGATACCACCCTGCACCACTGCAGCAGCCAGCTCCTGCTGCTGCCTTTCCTACAGGCAGCACTGAGAGGGACAGAAGCAGCACTGCTGGAGGAGGACACTGGGACTGGGGCTGAGCACCTCCAGTCCTCTAAGACCACAAAAAGAAGACTAGAGGGACTGCACAGAACTTTCTGTGCTCATCAGCTTGCTCAGTGTGGCTGCCTGTATGTCCACAGGGCCAGGGAGAGCACAGGCAGCCTCGGCAGGTGAGCAATACAGCAGACACCTTGCTACACACCGACTTACTGGAGGTACTGGTCTGCCCCGATGGGTGATGAGGGGTTTGTCACCTTCACTGGCCCACAGACAAGGTATTTCTGAAAGAGAGAGGCGAGGGCAGCAGTCAGAGACCCCGAAGCTCCACAAAATGCAGTGCTGACCTGGGCTAAAGCCAGCTCTGTTCCAGCTGTGTCAGCATCATGGAACAGTTTGGACTGGAAGGGACCTTAGAGCTCCTCTACTGCAGGCTCTGAAGGAGAGGCCAGCTGAGCACGGGGATGCTGAGGGTGACAGTGAGGAGGGTGGGAGGTTCGTCACCTGTAGAGCTGTGTGAGGTCCTGGATCCAGAATCCTCCAGAGCAGATCCAGCTGCTGCTGCTGGAATTCCTCCTCGCAGCTCACCACATGCACGATGCTGCAGCAGCTCCCCTGGCCTCCAGCCTGTAGCAGAGCACAGCAGGGACCTCACATACTGTTGTTGCATGACAAGAAGGGAAGGATGCCTGGCAAGCAGATGGCCTGCAGAGCTGAAGGGATACTCACTGTGCATTGCAGAGCAGCTTGCTGCAGCTCAGCCACAGACCGCAGCTTCCCCTCCGTCACTGCAAGGAGGAAGAACACTCAGAGCAGGACATGAGGGGTCACCCCATCCCAACATCCTGCACCACTGTCTCAAACCAAATCAAAGGGGAGTAAGAGGAAGAGGGAATTTCAACTAAACCCCTCTTATTTTCTACAAAAACTACTGAAAACAAGAGATCAAGCCTGTTCATAGCCCTTCACCCCTCGCTGTCACACTGAGCTGCTGTACCGAAGCTCACCCAGAAGCACATCCAGATTGGGGTCGTACCCCACCAGGCCCTGCTGCTCCACAAAGCCCTTCAGCTGCACCTTACAGATGACATCCGCGGGCAGCGCGGCTGCGCCCGGCCCCTGCCCGCAGCCTGCGGCACAAGGCGCCCGGGCCAGCCCTCGCTTCAACGCCGAGACAGCATCAGAGAGGTCGGGGTCGGCGGGACCGGCGGGCCAGTCAACGCGGAGCTGCCGCAGCAAGTCCTGGCGCCCCTCCTCAGAGAGCGCGGGGACCAGGCGGACGTGGACCCTGCCGGAGAGGCAGACGGAGCCGCTGGAAGCGCGGGGCCGTGATGCGGGGCAGTGCGGGGCAGTGCGGGGCAAGGGGCAGGCACTTACCCCTGTGCGCGCAGCAGCTGCGCTAGGTGGTCGGACAGCAGCAGAGGGCGGAGGTGTCGCGGCCGTGGGGGGCCGGGGCCGCGCAGAGCCGGGCAGTGCAGCACCACGGAGGGGGCCGGTGCGGGGGCCGGTGCGGGCGCCGGTGCGGGCGCGGAGCACAGCAGCAGCCGCCGGAACGCTTCGGGGCGCTGCAACCGCACCTCCAACCCCGCCGGCGTCTGCTGCGCGCTCCTCACCGCCAGCACGCCCGCGCCGCACAGCGACGTCACGAGCTCCACGACGTCCGCCGGCACCTATTGGGCCACAGGGCGGTACGTCATCCCCCTGCTCGCATGTGACCCGCCCCCCCACCCGCCGCGTACCTGCCCGCCCGGGAAGGCGGCTCGGAGCGCGGCCCGCGGCGCCAGGAAGTCGCGGTGCCGCAGGTTGCGGGAGCTGCTCTCCTTCACCCACAGCGCGCCGGGCCGCCCCAGCGCTTCGTTCAGCGCCCGCAGCGTCGCCGCCACGCCCGGCCGGACCTCGCCCGCCTCCATGACAAACCGGGCCTGTACCTCTGCCAGAAGTACCGCCCTTTCGGCCGGAAGTGGCGTCACCGCCCCGCTCACCACCCCTCCGTGGCTGTCACTGGCGGCCGCCATGTTGAGCGCGGCGTGCGGCGCTGCCGAGCGGCCATCTTGGGTGTAGCGAGCGCTGGTGGCCGCCATGATGAGTGCGGCTGGCAGGGCAGCGCAGCGCCGCCATGATGTGTGTGGCGGGCAGCGGAGCCCCGCACACCCCCGGCTGCTTCACCCGAGGCGGCTCCTGAGGGGAGGCCACGGGGCGATCACCGGCACGGCCGAGCACAGGGCTGGGGACGAGGGCTTGCTCCTCGGCCTCCTCAGGGCGGCTCCTGCCCGTCCCCAGGCACTGAGGGAGGCACAGGTGGGCAGGTAGCTCTGGATGGACCAAGGGTGCAAGGGACATCCAGGCCCCCAGTTCAGCCTCACCACCCATGAGCCCCGCAGGGGTGTGACAGGGTGGTTGAGGAGCACCAGCACTCAGTGCAGTTTGATGCCGCAGCCAGGCTCTGCGCAGTGAACAGCAGTGAGGATGAGCAGCTATGGGGGCTTGGAGCTGCCCTCCCACCCCACACATTAGCAAAAGTCATCAGCGCCAGCAGGAAGGAGGTGGAAGCGATTAGATCGCTCCATTGCGGTCTTGATGACACCTGCAGAGCTGTGCACCCACACTGCTGCCCAGCTCCATGCACAGCGCACCCACAGCGGGGCTGTACTCCCCTATGGGGCTGCAGTCGAAGCCAGCTCTGACCCGGGCACATGGGCAATGGCCCTGGCACAGCCCCAGGCCACCGGTGGGGAGCGGGTACCCAGGAAGCACCGAACCCGCTGTGGCCGCAGCAGGGAGCACGTGTGCTGGGGACGCCCCTCCTGCCCTTCCCTTCCTGCCCTCCCCATGAGCATGGGGGGGGGGGGGGGGCGCTCTGCCCACAGGACCCGAACCGGTTCCTCCAGGGCTCGAGTGCCCATGGGGGGAGGAGGGGGGGCATGGTGAGGGCAGATCCTGGCAGTGCTTGAATGGGCTCTGTTGGGAACACACCAACAGCTCGTTATGGGGCACGGCCATGTCCCCTCCGTGGGGCCGTGCCATGGCGGGGTGCTCCCTGCACCACCCACAGCCAAGAGGTGATCTGAGAATCGCTGCTCACACCAGACCAACTGCTGACTGTCCGCAGGGCAGGAGCCACCCGGGACCCCTGCCCGGCCTTGGGATGCACTGGGAGCACAGTCAGACCTTGTGTTATTGCTCAGGCGGGATACAGGCTGGATCCCCTAGAGCCGGGGGTCCCACAGGCAGCACACATAAAGCCCAGCAGCACCACGGGGGGCTCTCGGAGGTGCCGAAAGAGCTTTGGACAGACACGACATCCCCGATGGCTCTGTGGCTGCCCGCTCAGCGGGAGTGATCGTGTCATTCCAAAGCCGTCTCTCTCCGCGGGACATCCCTGCCGGGAGCCAGGGGGGTTGGCAGCACCTCACGGGAGGCCACATCACACTGTGGATTAGTCCCTAGGAAGCAAGCTGCTGTATTTAGCCATTAGGGGTATAGGACCACCAGAGATACTGGTGATCCCGGTGTCCCATAGAGGGGTTGGAGTGGGGCGAGCGGCTCTGGCATGGGGCAGCAGGCTGTGGGGCGAGGCAGGGGCGGCAGCGCTGGTAACGAAACCCCAGGGCAGCTGGGCACAGCGGGGACAGCTGCTTTTGGGATTCCGTTGCCCGCGCCAGCGCCACAAACAGACGCATACGGGGGCCACAATCACGGCACCCTGACAGCGGGTCAAGGAGGGGAGAGAAGGCAACTTACCGCCGGGAACCGGAGCTGCACGGCAGCCGCAGCCAGGCCGGTTGTGGCTGTGGGCTGTGCCTCGGGCAGGGTGCCAAGGGGAGGGCGGCACGGCCGAGCCAAAAGGAAACTGCTCGGAACAAAGCTCCGGTGGGGCCGGAGCATCTGGTGCCAGCCCAGCGAACACCCCGACGGGGCCCGGAAACACGAGATGGCCCCGAGGGAGGGCAGCGGCACCTGCGCGGCCCTCGGACACCCGCCACGGGGAAGTGAAACCGTGTGGGGAACCCCGCGGCTCCACGTGGTGCTCACAACCGAAGCGCTGCTGTTGCCCGTCCATGGGGTGTGGGGCTCCCCGATGCCTCCCCACCGCGGAGGCGGGAACGGTCCCATCGCCGACGCCGGGAGCTTCGCGGTGTGCGCCGCGGTGCCGGGGCTCTGGATGGTCCCGGTGGGTGGCGCAAAGTACGGGACAGGGTTCCCAGCCCCGGGGCACCTCCCGGAGCCCGCAGTGCCGCACTGAGCGCGGCACGGAGGAAGCGGGGCCGGCAGCCTCGGAGCTCGGGCTCGGGAGGGAGGGAGTTGTGCCGAGCCCCGGTCCCGCTCCCTCCCGCCGCCCAGGCCCGGCCGCTCCTCGGGGTGTCGGGGTCCCGGCACCAGGAGCCGCGCCGCTCCCCTCTCACCTCCGGTACAGCAGCCCGGCACAGTCCGCGGCCCTCCTGCCGCCGGCAAGCGGGACCCCCCGCTGTGCCCCCTCTACCCGCCCCGCCGCCGCTTTCGGTTTCGCTCCGCCGCCGCCCCCGAGCGCACCACGGGGCGGTCCCGGGGGAGGGCGATGTTGGGGTGTTTGTGTGTCCCTCCCCCGGCCGGAGGGGGTGGCAGCCTCGGGGGGGGGGGGGGGGGGTGGCCCCGGTGCCGCTCCCGCCCCCGGTGCCGCTGTTGCTGTCCCAGCCCAGGCAGCGCGGCCGGCGGCGGCCGGCAGGGGGCGCGCCGAGGGGGCGGGACAGCTCCTCACGGTTCCGGTAGCGTTGCGGCCATGGCGGTGGCGGTGGCGGCGCGGAGGCTGCTGGGCCCCGCGGGGCGGCTGGCGCCGGGCGGGTACGGGTACGGGTACGGGTAAGGAACAGGGACCGGCACCGGGGTCATGGCGGCACCCCCATGGCTGGGTCGCGGCATCGCGGTGGGGCCCCAGCGGCGGTGGACGTGGGGCTGCCGGAGGGTGACTGAGGGGTGACCCTGGGGCGTCTGTGGGGTGCCCTTGGGGCTGGTCGTGGGTCACAAGTACCGGAGCCACCCGCCGTCCCCACAGGGTGCCGCACCGGGCTCACCGCCTCATTCCGTCGGACGACGAGCTCTACCAGCGCACTCGTCTGACGGTGCTGGAGCCGGAGTCCCCCAACATCATGTTCATCGAGGGCTACAGCAGCCGCGGCTTCACCATCAACGGGGACGTGGTGGTGGGACCCTGCGCCGTCCTGCCCCGCACCATCCTCCAGTGGAACGTGAGTGCGCGGGGGTGGCGCCGGGCCTGCGGGTGAGTGCCCCGGGCTCTGCCCCGCTCAGTGCTCGCCGCGTCCCGCAGGTCGGCTCCTACAGGGACATCTCGCACGAGAGCCTGTCGCTGTTCCGGCTGCTGGAGCCCCGTATCGGTACGTGGGGTGGCCGGGGCTGTCACATTCGGACCGGAATGGCTTCTGAGCTGTGCCCTCGGGGCCAGGACAGCGCTGCCCAAGCCCACCCGCAGGGCCCTGACCGTGCTTTGGGTGATGGAGCTGCGCTTTCAAAGCCTTCTTCTCCGCAGCAGCGGCAGGAGGCACGCAGCGAAACGAGCTTCCCCCTCGTTTGTACTCTGGGGGAGTTGTTGGTCCCTGTGGGAATGGCAGGTCCGAGGCAGCCTGAGTGCAGCCCATTGCCTGTGGTCGTGTCCTGTTTGCAGAGATCCTGGTGCTGGGCACAGGAGACAGGGTGGAGCGGCTCCATGCCGCCATGCTGAAGCAGATGCGGGAGTGCGGGATAGCCGTGGAGGTGCAGGACACGGTAAGGAGGGTGCATGCGGAGCACTCCAGCGAGGGGGAGAGTGGTGGCCATGGGGACAAGGCAGGAGGCTGTGCACCTTGTGTGGAAGGGCTTTGTTTCCTGCCCGAGGGCTGCAGCTTTGCTCCCTTTTGATTTCACAGCCAAATGCCTGTGCAACCTTCAACTTCCTCACGAGTGAGAAGCGCATGGTGGCTGCGGGGCTCATCCCTCCGCGTGCCACCTGCACAGGCACATCAGGCACTGCCTACGCAGTTCTGCCCTCGCCTGCCTGAAGCCCCTGAGCACCACTGGAGAAACACAATGGAGCTGTCGGAGCTGCTGGCTGGAGGTGGCCATATACACGAGGGTGTTGTGGAGTGCATGGACTTGGCTCTGCCCTAAATCCCAGTTTTTTTGCCTTCCTTGCCCAGCCTGGAACATGGCACGAGGTATGAGCATTGCTGGCAGCAGAGCACCCAGAGTCCTGCTGTGCCTGGTGCCTTGGCATTGAGAACCCACTGCCCCAGGGCAGAGTGGAGGTGCTGGGGCGAGCTGCAAGCTCTGGGGCACATCTGGGGCTCCACAAGGAAAATACACGTTAATTGGGTGCACAAAGCAATTGTGTGGTGGTTCATGCACTGTGGGTTGGCTGCCTGGGCAGTGTGTGGCAACCAGGGCATGGCCACCACTGGTCACACACAGCCACCTCTGCAGGAAGGGGAATGGCTGCAGCCTCCAGCCCCAGATCAGGCCACGGCATGGCTTTGCCTGATGAGTGAGGTGTGCTAGTGAATGTCTGACAGGATTATGTTATAATTGAAGGCTCTGGTTTTAGCAAGTGTGAATCTAATTTGACATCACTGTGCTGAAGAGTGATTGCTTTTAAGAGACACAAAACACTGATCATGAATAGGCGTTCTTCAGTTGGAGTGATGTTTTGCATGTGTTTATATGCAACACACATATATGGGGGGGTGTTTCCTAAATAATATTGCTAGTAATAATAATAATTACTATTATTAGGATGTGGGGACAGTATGGAATGTTTAGGGGGAAGAAATAAAGGGAGGGAGAAAGGTGGATTGGTGAGGACCAAGCATTTGAAAATACAGGTCTAAGGGCCTGGTGCATGTTAAGTGGCTGCAGCACATGTGGAGATGTGAGCACGTGCATTCACAAGCACTGATGTGCCCATCACCGCAGCAGCTGCAGAGGGCACAGGGGCTGCAGCAACCTGTTGCTGCCAGCCCTGTAAAACCCATTTGCTCTCTTGCCCAACAGCCACTTGTGTTCTGCTCTCAGGAAGGGTTTTTTAAACACCCTGCACTGCATTATCCACTGAGCACCATCCCATCCTCAATCCCCCCTCACAGACACTGTCCCTTCTGGGGGCTCCTGAGAGGATGCAGGAAGCGAAGAAGAGCACCAAGGGAGGAGGGGGCAGCACAGAAGGGAGAGGGGCTCGGGGCTGACACCCACTGCACAGCTTTTTCTCTTTTATTGTAAAACACGGCCAACTCGTGCAGGGCTCCAGGCCCAACCCGGGGTCACAGCTCCCGGGGAGGGGACAGGCCCTCCGGGGTGGATGAAGCAGCCAAAGGGACGTGGGGAGCTCCCGGCACCCGCAGAGCGCTGGTGCTGCTGCAGCAGGAGCAGCTCCCTTGTGGGGGGCGCAGGGCTGAGTGGCTCAATGATGGGTACAGACCTTCAGAACAGGCGCTTCTCATACCTGCGAGGGGAGCAGCAAAGCAGAGTCCTTTCACTGACCCACCTCACCCAGGGCAAGGACAGAGCACAACTGGGAACAGCTCCTGGCCTGAACGCCCATGGAAGAGCCTGTGGCAGAAGCACTTACGAGTGGAGGCCGTGCACCCCTCCTTCCACCTGCGCAGACGTCGTCCTCTTCTCAAACTTCAGCTCTCCCGAGTACATCATGGCTCTGAGGGGGAAGGACACTGATCATATGGCAGCCAGAGCCCAGGGAACACAGTGCCCTGGCACACGTTCAGCTGGAGCAGCTACGATGAGGGACACTGGTTCTTCCAGTTGTGATCTGAATGGTCGTGGCTGTACTAAGAGCCAGGCAGGGTGAAGTAACCCCAACCTTTCCAGCCCAAGAGACCACGCTCCTGCATCCCTGGGGTTGGCAAATCTATGACACCATGACCTAACCAATGCACAGCAAGGGAAAGCACTCACCGGACTTGGGTTAGGCTCTTGGCACCAATATCCTGGCAGGAATGCTGGATCCCAGCAATCAGGTATGGAATGAATTTGTGGATAGAGCCCTTGTCCTGCACTGCACCGGAGACCCCCTGGGCCACTTTGATTTTGTCTGTCTCACTGGATGGGAGCACAAATCAACAAGTCAATGGAAAAGCCCCAAAAGCTCTATCTGCTGCCCCAAAGCACCATCTCTTACCTGAAATACCGGTTCTGGCTGCCCAGGTTCTTGTCCATGGCATCTAGCGAGCCCATGCCACGGTATTTCTTCAGCCTAATTCCATCTGAGAAGAAGTACTCGCCTGGGGCCTCCGTGGTGGCAGCCAGGAGGGAGCCCATCATCACTGGCACAAGAAAGCACCAAGAACAGGGTGTCAGCAGCAGGAAGGCTGTAACCACAAAACCCCTGGGTCTCTCGGCACAGGACCCTGATAGACCCCTTATGCCCTGAGCCACCTGCAGGTGGCTCATGCCCAGAATCCTGTGCCGTATGGAGACTTGTCCTAGGAGACTCCCAGCAATGTGCATGGGATCATAGAGTAGAATCCTACAACAGTTTGTGCTGGAAAGAGCCTTAAAGCTCATCCAGTCCCAACCCCCTGCCACAGGCAGGGACACCTTCTACTAGAGCAGCTTGCTCCAACCCCCTGTGTCCAACCTGGTCTTGAACACTGCCAGGGATGGGGCAGCCACAGCTTCTCTGGGCACCCTGTGCCAGTCCCTCAGCACCCTCACAGGGAAGAGCTTCTGCCTAAGAGCTCATCTCAGTCTCCCCTCTGCCAGGTTAAAGCCATTCCCCTTTGTCCTGTCCCTACAGGCCCTTGTCCCAAGCCCCTCTCCAGGTTTCCTTTAGGCACTGGAGCTGCTCTAAGGTCTCCCCTTCAGGAGCCTTCTCTTCTCCAGGCTGAACCAGCCCAGCTCTCTCAGCCTGGCTCCAGGGCAGATCCAGCCCTTGCAGCATCTCCGTGGCCTCGCTCCAACAGCTCCATGTCCCTCTTACACAGCCATGGCCCCCGTGCCCAGTGCTCTGCTCACCTGTGGAGGCACCGAGCGCCAGAGCCTTTGCGATGTGCCCGACCGTCTGGATCCCGCCGTCCGCGATCACAGGGACACCGAACCTCCGGGCGTATTCGGACACCTTGTACACCGCAGTGGCCTGGGGACGGCCGCACGCCAGCACTGCGGGCAGAAGAGAGCAGGGACAGGGTCAGCTCTCACACACCACCATGTCCCCTCCCCAGCAGGCCCTTCAGGCTCCCAGCACACGCATGCTCCAGCACTCGGGAACGCACAAATCCCTGGATGCTCCTTCCTTAGGCCGAGTTGCAGGAGACGTGGATGCCCAGGAGGTGCCTGCTGGGACATCCTCATGGCCCCTTCACTCCAAAACACAGCAGGTGATGTTGGGACTGGGGTCTTTGACCTAATGCCTGGGATCAGCCAAGAGTCCCAGCTTATCCTGGTGCACGGCAGACGTGTGGGAAGCTTGCGAAGGAAACGGAGCAGACTCCAAAAGCCCCTCTCCAGAGCATCCCTGGCCCATGTCCCACCACTCACTCCCTCCAAGCAGTGCCAGATCCCATCTCCGTATACCCAGCACTGTATGAAGTGCTTCTTGCATGGCAAGTCAGCTGGTTGGGAGAGAGCTGGTATGTATATATATGTATAGATATATATATATATAGACATCTGCACACACACACAAACACACATGCAGCAGTGGGAAAGGAAATGGGCAGGATGATTCCATAGCTTAGAGGAAATAATTTATGTTCCTGCCCTGCGGTGTAGCAGGATCCTGTCAGGTTTAGCTGCCCCATAGGAAGGGAGTTAATAGCTGTGGATTTACCTGCTTTTCCCAGTCAGCACCAGTTAGAGGCTTCCCGTTACACAAGGGAAAACCAGCACAGGAAACGTGTTTGTCAGCCACAGGCATGCAACAACGCTGAGAGGAGCTTCTCTCCGGGTGACTTCCCTTCCCCGCAGTTAACTGGAAGCCTTTTCTCTGGTCATGGTTAGTCCAGTACAGCAGGTAAGGTTATGGCCATGCAGGATCAGTGAGCTCTAGGAGTGGTTTAGCCTGCCTGGCACCACAATGCCCTGGCACAGGCTTGCCAAGGCTGGAGTCTGTGGTTGCTCTGTTCCTAGTGCTCAGCAGCAGCTGCTGAGAGAGGGCAGCCAGAGTCCAGAGCATGAGAAAACTGAGTTTAATGGACCAAAACTCAGCCTTAAGCTAAGGCTCAGCCAGGCAGGGAGAGTCTGCCAGGGGCAATGGGGATGCTCTGAGCCTTAAAGAGATGGTCTCGCTCGGTACCGCACTGCTAAAGCTGCAAAATGCTGCAGGGGAAGAGCTCTGTGGAGAGAAGCACTTGGATTTGGAGCATACGGAGTCCAGGGTCTATGGGACTGTGCCACAAAGAGTGCAGGGCCTGCAGAACCTCACAGGAGCAACCATGGAGACCAGCCCTTTAAGGAACAGCTTGGCTCAGGGCTGCTGGGAGCACTGCACCGTTCCCAGCACCCAGCACCACAGCTGGAGCACAGGCTTCCAAAGCAGGGTTCAGAGCACACACACGCTGGGAGAGGGCTTGTCCTCCTTAATGTGTCTGCAAAGGGTGCCCTACAGGATCATCTGCTAGAGAGAACCTTCTGGGATCTTCAACAGAAACCTCCCTCCCTTTGAGGTGCATCAGAACAAGGCGTAAAGGGCAGAACCCAGGGCTTGGGTAGCATCAGAGAGGTACAGAGCAGACAATGCTGCACCCTGTGCTGGGCAGGAGGAGAGCTCTTTCTCTCCACACGCCTGCTAGAGAGAGATGGGGTTCTGGTACACAACTGCTATGGTACCAACCACAGTTCAGTCCCTCTGTAACCCTAGGGGACAAGCTTCAAGTGAAGCTGAGCCAGTAACTGGGGCCAGTTCTCGAGCAGGATCAAGGACTGCTCAGGGATCACCTCCCAGCACTGGATCAGCAGGGCCATGCCCAGCCAAAGATCCAGAAGGTGCAGTCAGAAAGCCCCTTCATGCTCCTATCTTTATTTTGGAGTGGAGGGTGGACAGGCCTGAGTGGCCTCAGCTTTGACATATCAGACCCTGCTTTAGGAATTCAGAAAGGCTTCTCAGCTTCCATGTCAGATTCAAGACCAGTATCCAAAGCCACAAAACCCCAAGTGCATCTACAGCTAAATTATTCTCAAACAAGCAGTAGGGCCATGTGCAGCCAAATCAGGGTCCTGCTTCAAGACATGTAATTAGGGTTGGGAACAGGGCAAGTGACTTACTATAGGTGCCCGTGACAGTAGAAGGGCATTTGGGGCTGTGGGACTTTAGGTCTGGAGGGATCTTTGGAGCAGCTAAACAAAAACAAACACATATTTTAGAGACAGAAGAA